TTTACCCTAAACACTTTAACTCCAGCTACAATACTCCTGTTACAGGCTGCCACAGACCTGGCCCCTGGGGCTTCCCCTCCCCCTCGGACAAGGTTAATCCCTAGTATGGGACACTTCTTCTCTCTCTATTGTTAGGCACCATTCCCCTATCCCTGTTAAGCTGTGGAACCCCTCTTTGTTCCCTGATGTCCCACCATACCCCATTGCTAATAAACACCTAATAGGGTTAAAGCCCCTTATAAACAAACTCCTTTCTTATCTCTCACAGCCTACCCACTCGCCTTTATTTATTTATTTTTTTTTGGCTTTTTCGTGACCGGTAAGGGGATCGCAACCCTTGGGTGTGGTGTCGCCCACACTGTGCTCAGCCAGTGAGCGCACAGGCCATTCCTATATAGGATCCGAACCCGCAGCAGGAGCGTCGCTGCGCTCCCAGCGCCGCCCTCTCCCGAGTGTGCCACGGGCTCGGCCCCACCCATTCGCCTTTTAATACACCCATCCTTCCAGTTATAAAGGCTAACAGCTCATACCATTTAGTACAGGACTAATCCTGACACGTGCCATTCCCAACAACTTACTTGGACAGTACTACCTCAGGGGTTTTGGGACAGCCCCCACCTTCCAGGCCAGGCCTTAGCTCAAGACTAATCTGAACTTCCTCCAACCTCTAGCACTTTAATATAACATGTGGATGACCTCCTCCTTTGTAGCCCCTCCTACAATGATTCACAGGCCCAGGGGATATTGAGTGTCCCCCAGCAAGGCCCCAATTTCTTCTCCTCAGTCACCTACTTGGGAGTCCACCTCACCCCCAACACCAGAGCTAATTTCTTTTTTTTTTTTTAAAGATGACCGGTAAGGGGATCTTAACCCTTGGCTTGGTGTTGTCAGCACCACGCTCACCCAGTGAGCTAACCGGCCATCCCTATGTGGGATCCGAACCCGTGGCCTTGGTGTTATCAGCACCACACTCTCCTCAGTGAGCCACGGGCCAGCCCCAGAGCTAATTTCTGAATTCCCTACTCCTACCACAAAGGGTGAAATCCCTTCTTTCTCGGGGCTTGCAGGATATCTCCGCCTATAGATTCGTAACTTTGGTGTGCTAGCAAAACCACTTTATGAGGCAGCCAAAGGGGATCCTGCCATTCCTTTCGATTCCGCAAAGCCCATTCATTCTCCCTTCCATCAATTAAAAGCCGCTCTCCTCACAGCCCCTGCTCTATCCCTCCCCAAACCTATCTCAGCCTTTTATCCTATACATCACCAAAACCCAAGGATTGGCTGTCAGGGGTTGGGGACAAAAGGCAGGAGATATTTTCTCCCCAGTTGCATCCACAGCCCGGGAATGGGCTCCCTGTTTAAGGGCCTTGGCAGCAGCCATGCTTTTAACACAAGAAAGCTCTAAACTAACTTTTGAACAACAAACAATCAAGACCTTCTCAGCCATAAGGCCAAGTCAATTCTCTCCCCTTCCTGCCTACAACTTATTCACCTTACTTCGATTGAAAATTCCCAGTTCTCCTTCAAACCTTGCCCTCCCTTAAATTTAGCCACTCTTAGGGCTGGCCCCGTGGCTCACTCGGGAGAGTGCGGTGCTGATAACACCAAGGCCACGGGTTCGGATCCCATATAGGGATGGCCGGTTTGCTCACTGGGTGAGCGTGGTGCTGACAACACCAAGCCAAGGGTTAAGATCCCCTTACCGGTCATCTTTAAAAAAAAAAAAAAAAATTTAGCCACTCTCATCTCAAAACACACACGACCCTTAGAACACAATTGCACAGAGGCTTTAGACCTCTTTCTCAATCCCTTTCCTCACATCTCCCCACATCCCATTACGTGGCCCCAACGTACATGGTTCATAGATGGGAGCACCACCTCCATGCCCGCCCCCTGGGCAGGTTATGCCATAGTAAATCTAACACAAGCTATTGAGGCTGCCCCCTCCCCTCTAACACCACTTCCCAATAGGCAGAGCTCATTGCCCTCTCCCACACTCTCACTCTGGCAAGTAACAAACAAGTCAATATATACACTGACTCTAAGTATGCTCACCACACCCTACAGTCCTGTGTGGCCATATGGAAGGAGAGAGGATACATGACCACTCAGGGAGGGCCCATAAAAAATGGACTTCTTTTCAAGACACTTCTTGAGGTTGCACAAGTCCCAAAGGAGGTTGGGGTTATATACTGCAGAGGACACCAAACCTCCAACGACCCCATAGCCCTTGGAAACAAACTGGCAGATCTAACTGCAAAACAGGCTGCTCAATCACCAGGCCCCCACTCTTCCTCTCCTGCTCAGGTCCTTCTCATAGCCCCCATGCCCTCACCCCAATACACACCTCAAGAAATACAACACCTCCAACAATTGGGAGCACAAAGAAAGGACAACTGGTATACTCTCTTCAGTTGCTATGTCCTCCCTACCACACAAGCTGAGCAAATCCTTTTAGATTTCCATAATTCAGTTCATTTAGGCTATGAATCCCTACTACACCTTCTTCAGCCCTTATATTACTCCTCCTACAAAAGGACACGCTATTTTCTAACCCTAGCAGATACCTTTTCAGGTTGGATTAAGGCTTTTCCCTGCACTTCAGAGGATGCTACAGCAGTAATGCATGCTCTCACCTCAGAAATCATCCGTTTTGGCTTACCCACCAGTCACTCACTCGTCTATGGGCAGCTCCCCGCAAACCCACAGGCCTCAGCCCCCTCGAACTTATGTACAGTAGGCCCTTCACTCTCACAACTTTCCCTTCAAGCTCATCGCCTTTAGGCCAGTATCTCCCTACTCTTTCGCTCATTAGGGATCTTCTTAGGGAACAGGCCAGCCTTCTATTATGTCATCCTTTTCCCCACCACCCCCTCAGACTTTAAACTGAGCCCGGGACAGCAAGTGTATATTAAAACCTGAATCCCAAAGCCTCTCTCGCCACGTTGAGAAGGGCCTTATACAGTACTTCTCGCCACCCCCAAGGCAGTAAAGGTGCTAGGAAAGGCCCCTTGGTATCACTTATCCTTGGTAAAACTAGCACCTGAGACTTTACCCAAAAAAATCTGTTAACACCAAGCCAGAGGGGTCCCTAACAAAACCTTTCCTAGTCTTTATTGCAGTTAGGTGGGACTTGCAAATAAGCTCCTGCTAAAAGGATGTGAGGGAAAGTGAGATGGACAAATTCCATCTCACTTGCTTAAAAGGAAATCCTTGTCTGTACCTCTTTTCTTTTCCTCTTCTCACCAACTGGAATGTGGATGTTCCTACGACCCTAGCATGGAGCAGAGTTATCCCACTGGCCTAGCCCAGTCCGCCTTTTATGCAAGACAGAAATAATCTGGCTTACTTGAGCCCTTGTATTTTAGAGTCTCTTTGTTACAGCAACTTACCCTTTACCCAACGCAGGCTTCTCTATGATAGTGTATTAAATTATACCATGCCTTGTAATTATTTGTATAAATGTCGTTTCTCCCCTCCTAGGAAGCCAACTCCTAATTGGTCTTCCTGCTTCCAGTCTTGACTCCTTACCATAAGAAAATACTAGAGAACAGGACCTGGCACATAAAAAGTGTTCAATAGATACTTAATGAATGAATGAATGAATTCCTTGAGGCAAATACTTTGTCGTCCCCTCAATACCTAGCACACTGCCTTATATGCAATAAAGCACTCGGTAAATATTTGATGAATGAACTATGATGGTCGACTACTAATATTCTGCCTTGCAGTTTATTTCTTTCTCCCTATACACTACCCATGAATGAGCCTACCTTAAATTTCTGAACTTGTAAAAGTGTGACAAAAGGTCAGAAGGAGAGGTCCTCCACGGGCACTGCTGAAAGATAGGATGCTGCTTTGAGTACTTTCTTTGTCACTTAAATCCCTTTCCCTCCCTGGGTCTCGGTTTCACCATATGTAAATGAAGCTAGTAGACTAGATGATCTCTGAAGTCCCTTCGATTTTTATAGTTGGTAGTTATGAGCACTACAGTCACTTTGATTCTAAAATCGTATGATTTTTCTCTTCTCCTCACCCACAGTTGGAATATGCTTAACGAAAACATGGTGCAAGAGTAAAGGCTCACTTTGGCCCAATTAGCAAGTATCATCATAAAGATAATAAAACATGGTGTAAATGGTCACATTAGCAGTATGCAGATGATGACATTTAGGCTCACATGAGGCAAACAGGACTAAAAACCAGGTTTCTGATTCCTTCAGGGCTCTTTATCACAAGTCCCATAGTATACTATATTTTCCTTCCTTTCCAAGGGTTAAATAAATCAGATCTTTATTGCCTAGATATTCTGGAAAATCCACACTTGTTTGAACATACTTGGTCCTTGCGTTAGAAACAAAGTGCTACTTTCTCTTGCAGTCTCCGGATGAGCCCGGTGGCATGCCTTCAGACATTGTTCCTTTGGGACTTGTCTACCAGGCAAAGGCGGCAGCATGCAATCACAAAAGGCAAACAAGCCCTTTGGATGCTCCTGTGTGATGGGTGTCTCTCTGTGACGTAAAAGTGCTTTAATTCAGCCCCATCCTTATAAAGAGATAAAAATCATGTTCAGAAACATGCAGACTCACGTGGCTGCCATACTGATAAACAGATTTTCTTAAAGGAAACTAAATCCAAGCCAGACTTTCTTTCTTGTGCTGAAGAAGAAGAAAACGCAAGTGCGGCTGACTTACCGCTTGCGGGAGAGTTGGCCCTGCGCTTCACCAGCATCCCTCCATCCCTGGTCAAACGCCTCCACGTGCTCTCTCGTCACCTGTCTCCCACCGCCAAACTAAGGGGTGGGGGCGTATTTCTCAGACCCACCTCCTTCATGCCCTCCAGCCAATATCTGAGTGAACCCGAGAGAGGCGGGGCTACAGGGAGGACTCCGCCCCTCGCCCCCGCTCAGCTAATCGGGGCGGGCGGGGGGTGGACTTTTCTGATGACCCCTCCTCCCAGCGCCGGGTAATTTAGAGCCGCGCGCCGGGCGAGAATGTAAGATGGCGGAGTAGCAACGCGAAGCGGTTGGTATTGAGTCTCCGGGCAGACTCCCGTTTCGGTCTCCACGGCAGCAGTGCTCGCTGAGCGAAAAGCGCCTCGGGCAGTTGGCCAAGATGCCGAATATCAAGATCTTTAGCGGCAGCTCTCACCAGGATTTATCCCAAAAAATTGCTGACCGCCTGGGCCTGGAGCTAGGCAAGGTGGTGACTAAGAAATTCAGCAACCAGGAGACCTGTGTGGAAATTGACAAAAGTGTACGTGGAGAGGATGTCTACTACATTGTTTAGAGTGATTGTGGTGAAATCAATGACAATCTAATGGAGATTTTGATCATTATTAATGCCTGCGAGATTGCTTCAGCCAGCCGGGTTGCTGCAATCAGCCCATGTTTCCTCTGTGCCCAGCAGAATAAAAAGGATATGAGCCAGGCTCCAAGATTTGTGGCTAGCGTGCCCCGCGGGCTGTTTCCGTTATTTAACCTCTCGCGGGAGGGTCACGTTCCTAATCACCGTGGGGTGGGGTGGAGTCAACATGGAGCACGAGGGGAAGCTTGCTGGGTTTAAGGGACCGGATCCGGGACCCAATGTGGGGGTAGTGTCTGCCTAGAGCCGACGGGATGGGACGGACGCTTAGCCTCGGCCGGGAGACACGTGGCTTTGTCGCTTCGCTGTTGAGCTCTTAGACTAGCTTGCGTCGGAGAACCTACCGCGTACTGAGTCCTCTTGGTCTTTTCAACTCGAAGTGGTATCCGTTGAGTTTGGTGTTGAGGGAACTGATGTACTGATGGCACCAAGAATATTACTGAGGACTTCCCTTAGATTGGCAAACATTGGCTTTTCACATCTTTGGAATCGTCTACCGAATAATCTGAGCCATATTATACTTAAATCTAATTGACCGAATAAAGTGATGCATTAGCTCTGCATCCTTGATAACTAGCATCTCCAGCTTAAGCCAATCCGAAAGTCTTCGGGAACCTTAATTGTGAAATCTTTGACCTTCCCCCGTGCAGCTAGTGATACAGATAATATGAAAGCATATTTTTCATTAACGATCTATCCTGGACTGTCCATATCTCTTAGCGCCGTGTGAGGAATGTAGGAAACAATTTTATACCTGAATGTTAAGATAATTGAGGACAGATAATGGAGTGGAAGACCGGTATGAACGGTGCATTGCAACTTGAATTTTTATCATTGCTTTGCCAGTAAAACTTGCTCCTCCGCCCCTTTCTACCCTCTACCCGCAGCTTGAGACCGTTTTAGAGATAACTTGGTTTCCTGATTCTTTGAGTACTCCTTCCACCTAAATGTGGAATCTTCTGATTGTACTTTGTTCTGTTGTTAGCCTATCTATCAAATCAGGACAGTGCCCACTATCTTAGAGATAAAGTCATCTGTTAAGGGAAAAAATTTGACTTAAAGGTCAGTTAAATTAGTTACAATTACTTCGAACATTTTTTCCCAAATGCTTTTGTTTACTTTTTTACTTTAAAGTGATTTCCAAGTGTAATCCCCTTATCTTTTTTAGACCTAGCTGATAAAAATATCCATCTGTAACGGACCGCTTCTTTTTGGGTTGTGCCACCAATTGTGATGCAAATAATAGTGCAGATACTGATGCTGTCTGTAACCAGGCAATACTTTAGTCAAAAGAATCTTACAGGCTGCTGTCTTTAGCTTTGACCACACCATTATGGCTCATGGGCCTTAATAAAGAAGACAAAACAAGACCAGACTTTTTGAGGGGCAGTATAGCTAGGGGACAAGAATTTTTTTCATTTAGAGGTTTTCTTTGACTCCTGTGGTTATAAATCCTTTCCCTGTGCTTCTAGGAAAAACATGAAGTACTTTATTTTCTCCTTGTGTTAATCCTACTGCCTTCTGCATAATGAAACACACCAGAACCTGAGACTATATTGGGAAAGGGGAGGGGGAGAACAACTTAGTTTTCTAGTGATTGATTTTGATAAGCCCATCATGGAAAATTGCTGACTGGTTAGGTTTCCTTGTTTCTGGCTTAATCATTAGCTTTTGGGTTCCTTAACTTTTCTGAACATAATCAAATATGTTGTCTATGGAGCCTCTCCCTCCCCCACCAACCTTTGTTTTTTCTACACTGCAGAAATGGTAACTGCTCTGCTGTGTGACTCTCAGGATCTAAAGATTATGGACAAAGGCTGGCTGGTTAGCACATGGCCTTGTAACACCAAGGTCAAGTGTTTGGTTCCCCTTAACCTGCCAGCTGCTAAAAAAAATAAAGATCATGGACAGGGAAACTGAGTGGGTGCTGTGGGTCCATGGACAGGGAAACTGAGTGGGTGCTGTGGGTCATCAGATGAGGAATTGCAGAGTCCATCTTCAACTGAAACAATTTTGTTATTTGCTATAATGTGGCAGAATTTCAGGGGGTTGTGCTTTCTTTAGCAGAGTAGCTTTTCTTCTGAAATCAGGATTGTCCTTGGCAGTTCAGTTATTTAGGAAACATACATATCTTCCATTCCCACCCCCCACACAAATAGAGGGTAAAAGTTATGGCACACTGGAAACAGAACCTAGATATGAATCCTTAACCTTCCTTTGCCTCAGTAATTTCATCTGTAAAGTAGAATCTACCCATACAGTTACTGTGAGGATTAAATGAGATAGGAGTAAAGTTCTTTAAACATTGTCCAGCACGTAATAAGTGCAGCACGTAATGCTGGCAAGAAAGGGTGGTGATGGTAATGCAGAAAATGTGGAAAACATAGAAGACAAAAGAAAAAAACAAATATCCATCATAATTCCACTGTTCAAGATAAGCTGTTCACATTTTAATTTATGACTTCCCAGATGTTTATGTTATTTTTCATATCTGTGTGTTTATATAATTTTTCAAAAATATAAAACGCATTGTTCATAGCTTTCTTCACTTTATGATATACAGTTATCCCTTGGTATCCATGGGTGACTGGTTCCAGGACCTCCCTACGGATACCAAAATCCGAGGATGATCAAGTCCCTGCTATAACATGATGTAGTGTTTGCATATAACCTGTGCACATCCTCCTGTATACTTTAAATCACCTCTAGATTACTTATACCTAATACAAGGCCTACACATCACTTCTTTTGTGTGGATTCAATGTAGTACTTGGCACATGGCAAATTCAAGTTCTGTTCTTAGGAACTTTGTGGAATTTTTTTCCAAATATTTTTGACCCACAGTTGGTTGAACCCCCAGATGCAGAACCCACAGATACAGAGGGCTGACTGCATTTTGAATAGTTTCTCACTTTATTATTTAGTCTGTGTGATTTTAAATAGTTGTATAGTCTTATGGTTATATCATAATTTTAGATAACCAAATCTCTATTAGTCGATATTTCTTATTTTTGATCTAATGCTTTTATATGAAAGTTCTTTTTTTTTTTTAAAAGATGACCGGTAAGGGGATCTTAACCCTCGACTTGGTGTTGTCAGCACCATGCTCACCCAGTGAGCGAACCGGCCATCCCTATATGGGATCCGAACCCGTGGCCTTGGTGTTATCAGCACCGCACTCTACCAAGTGAGCCACAGGCCGGCCCTATATGAAAGTTCTTGAACGTAAATCTTTGATTATTTCCTTAGAATAAATCACTAGGAGGGGAATTACTGGGTTAAAGGATACACACTATTTTTCAGGCTTTTGATTCCTATTGCTAAATTGCTCCCCAGAAAAGTTGAACCAATCTCCAGTCTCATCAGCAATATTGTTAATATTTAATGTATAGTGAATGCTTAAGATGTGCTAGTTTCTATGCTAAGCACTTTCTACACATTGTTTTAATCCCCTCAACACTGCTGTGGGGAGCTACTCTACAGAGGTGGGAACTAAGATTCAGAGATTAAGTAACTTGCCCATCTCTGGGTATTATGGCTTTAGATTTTTGCTGGTACGCTATCTCACCTGGCTTTTGAAACTTTTGTATATACTAAAATTTTGACTCTATTCTCCTCAATATTGATAAATAACTTAGGTATATTTGGTTATTCTGTATTGTCTGAGAGAGGGAAGACTTTAACCTTGGTTGCCTAGGATTTTCCTAAGAACCATATCCTTTGTTTAGTTTATCCCATGTACTTTGTACATGCCAACATCTCCATAGTCTAAATTCTTGAGGTTTTTCTTAGGAATACCATCTGCCTTTTAGGTTTACTTTATTTCCTTTTTGTGATTTTTAACATTCAATGCCGGGATGCACTTATGTCTGGTGCTGAAGAAAAGGGAAAAGAGGAAACTAGTTTTCTTACTCATTGGATAGACATACCCAGTCCTCTGGCCTCTCCAGAACTGCTGGGAGAATGATTGGCCCAAAGCCACTTGGAGAACACTCCATTAGCTGGAGGGAGAGAACAAGGAGTGTTACCCTCTAAATTGCTGAACTAGGTCTTTCCACCTAATAGATTATATTAGGAGCAAACAAGATTTTAGGTACAACTGTTCTTCTATCAGTCACTGCTGTAATTTATCTCTTAGACTTAGAGGAAACCGTAAGAATAATAAGATTTTTAGAGGTTTCATTGAACTGTTTATTACCAAGCTGTATAATCTGAGTGTATGTAGTTCATGAACTTAAGGCTTTGTCAAAGTCTGTACATTATAGTACTATTAGAAAGAGTGGTCTTGATTAGTAGAATTATATGCAGTTCATCAAGTGAGCAAAGGTGAAAAAAAAAGAATTATACACAGTAAAACAAGTGTCCTAGTTTACTCGTACTACCTTATTTTTAACAGTTAAATAACTTTTTCAAGTTAGTAGATGCATGCCTTGTTATAACAAACATCTTTCTATGTTGAGGGTGAGTTTTAGTTTTAAATTTGGCTTTGGGAAATGGGTGAACCGTTCGTTGCTTATTAAGTGATATAACAAAAATGGTACTAGCGATGTGTTCGGTTGTGAGCTAAGTGATTTTTAAAAAATTATTCTTCAAGCCTTATGTGATGTTAGAATGTATAATTAAAAACAAATCACGTCTACTAAAGCTATATATTTATCAGATGCTCTCCGATGTTTAAACTGGCAGTGATAATTTAATTTTATAACTAATACCTTACTTTCAAGAATGGATTTGAAGTGTGTTTCATGATAGTCACAAATGGTTTGTTAAGAAGATAGATATCAGAAGTCTTATGGAACAAAGGACTACAGTAATTGTGCCAAGAATTTAACATAAAATGATTACTGAAGTTTAGTATTACTTTAACTGTATCCCTTGGCTTCCTGACAACCAAAGGAATAAAGGCA